AAAACAAAAGACTAAAGTAAACTTCGACAGACTTAAACCTTATTTTGATTAGTGAATCTCTTTACAGGTCCATTCTGCTGTTTTCAGCAGCAGACGCCCAACACACGCTCAAATCAATAAACAATACAATCGGAATATATTACCACGAAGAATCAACAGTTAAATTCTCTAACGACAAATGGACACTAATAGTTTACAAAGACCTCGAACCCATCAAAAGTGCTCTCGAGAAAAATAACCGAATATTAGAATCGATGCTCGATTTATTCGATACACCGAACCCTCGTATGATATCCTTCAAAGCTCAAGTAAAAACTCATATAAGTCTTCTCTCACAAATCTCCGATTCACTAGGCCTGAAGTATCGTGAAATATTCGCAGATACAAAACCCGGCCATAGAACAAAAAGAGGAATATTCAATGGTGCAGGTTCCTTTTGGAAAGCCATCACTGGAAATTTGGATGCTTCCGATGGAGAATATTTCAATGACTGTATCAATAAAATATCTAAAGACGAATATCAGCTTGAAAACCTGATGAAAAACCAAATATCTGTAACTACTTCCGTTATCAAAAGTTTCAATAATACAATTCAAAAATTACAAATAGACGAAGCTACTTTCAACAATAATCTAAAATCAATCGAGAAATCAATATATGATATTTCTGACGATGTAGCATATGTTGAAGCTCAATTAGAAACCTTAGAATTCTGCGAATCACTAATGGAGAGCTATATGTTTCTCGAAGCAACATTAGATGATATGCTCAACTCAATCACCTTTTCTCGACTAAGAATAATACATACGTCAATCATAACACCTAGAGATTTAGTTAATTCCCTTCAGGAAATATCTCAATCATTATCCAAAAATAATTTACCCCTACCAATCTATCTATCAACAGTAGCTCAATACTTAGAAATTATGGAACTCGAAGCCTACCAAACTGATTCAAAAATAGTTTTCTTGTTAAAAATTCCACTAGTTGAACCAGAAACCTATACCCTATTCCGATTATTCCCAATACCAATATTGGATAATAGAACAGGTTTTCATCACATTTTGTTAACAAATCAAAAATATATCGCGAGAGATGACGATTCAATGTTGTACGCATCATTCAAAAACTTGGACAGATGCAAATACCTGGAGAGCCGAATACAAATCTGTTCAGATGTTCTGCCATATCCAATCGATAACAACGCTATCTGTGAAGCTCAACTTCTTCGACAGCAATTCGAAGTACCGAAGACATGCCAATCCTCAGTCATCTTTGCAAGAGACTATAATGTACAAGAAATTGCCTCCAATATGTGGTTGATCGCTTTGTCAGATCCACTACCGATAACGATTAAGTGTTCCAATAGAGAAACAATCACGAAAATAGCCAATACCAATTCGATCCTCACACTACAACCAGAATGCAATGCATTCATAGGAAGCACGAGAGTACACGCTAAGTACTTGGTCAGTTCTTACAAGAATGTGACCTACAGAAATCAACCAGTCATCATCCCATACGAATGCTGCAAACACCTACCTGAAAAACAGAATGTTCCAGAGCTGAAACCACTGAAACTAAGCAAATTGGATACTGAAGACCTGAATATTGCCCAGCACAAATTGAGTCAATATTCCGATGATTTGGACAAGTTAATCAATCAACCATACGTGACCAAACACATTTCTTGGTTTACGTATCTTACGATCACCCTGATAATCCTCCTGATTGTACTCTACTTCTACTGTAAGTGCAGACGTAGAAGACCAGCAAGAATAAGCATCATGGCTTCAGACAATTCACCCCCAGCTCCACCAGGAACATCAAGGACACCCTTCAGATCATCCCTTACCAGGTTCATCCCCAGAAGACGCCCAAGCGTCAACATCCGAGACCAAGAAGACGACTTCGAGCTGACATCATCCACCTCGAAAGACCTTCATTAAAAGTCGCTGCAATAAGCACCAACTTTTTATTATGATGGGGAGTTGTTATATGCTAAAATCAGTTCCCATTGTTCTCAGTAGTATCAACTTACCAGCGATAACAATTCCTCAGAACATGATCTTGACCTTGAAGTCAGCATCCGCAGAAATGGAATATAATATCTGCTGACGCTGGCATCAGCATTATTTTTAATATAAATTCATTTTATATTGTATCAAAAAGTCAGTCTTGAAATAAAGCTCATTGTATAAACTTAATCTATGCCGGAATAAATAAAATTGTTTTTAAAAAGTCTATTTCGAAAACCACGAGATAACATCCCTGTCACTAGTTTGTTATGTAAGGAGATGGGTCGTATGTCCTTTATAGTTTTAATAATTTTATGTTTTGGGACCATGGCGATTTTAGTCCTTGAATTTTTTGGGCATTTTTGTTTTGAGTAAGACTTCATTCAAAACTGCTGTAAGATCTTCTCTAACTATGTCACACATTGTGATATGAAACTCTCTGGGAATGCCATCTAGACCAGGTGATTTATGTTTAGCACTGCCTTTCAGGCAATTGAAGACTTCGTCAGTACTAGTGCTTCCCATTACGATTTGGTCGTCCACTGGGGTTGTTTTGACATCGGCCATAAGATCCAATATATCTTTCTGTATGTTCACTTATGCATTCATCATTTCGTTAATATAACATTTCCTCTTGTTTTTTCGGCTCTGATGAATTGATGCACTGATAACTTTCCCCCTTCTATATGTATTTGTTTTGGGTAGAGTATTCCGGGGCTTTTCATGTTTTTCACATGTATTTTGAGAAGTTGAGCTTTATATTCCTTGTATTTCATGTAATTGTCTTGGATTTTGGGAAAACGGTGAATATAATTTGTCAGAGAATTTATAGTGTTTTGTTTCTCTCCGTGATCCATTTCAGGAAGTATTTCAACTTTGGTTTCAAGTAATATAACCACCAGTCAATTTTTTCGTTGTATTTTTTGCATTGTTTTCTCAAATAAGCCAATTCCTCCTTCAACCCTTCTTTAGAAAGTATGTTAGTGGTTAGTCTCCAAATTTTTTTTGTGGTAACTGTGGATTTCATGTTCATTTTCAGGGAGATTTCATAGCCTAGATGGTCCGATATGGGAGTAACTACTCTTTGTGTGTTTGTTATGCTGTCAACTGAATTTATGTCTACATATATTCAGTCTAACCTTGAGGCTGCTTGGTTTTGAATAAAGGTAAATCCTTCCTTGTTGGGGCTTTTTTCGTTCCACGGATCTGTCAACTGTAGGCCAGTAACTAATGATTGCAGTTGAAGTCACCTCTCAAGGCAGTTTTGTTAGTGTTGCCCATGTGACGTCTTCTGCATTAAACTGTTCTCTTGCTCTCTTGTTTTGGGAACCTGATGGTGCATATACATTTATGATCTTTGTGTCTCCGATTGTTACTGATATGCCTCTGAAGGACGGGAGTATTTTCAGATTTTTATAATGGATGCCTTCTCTTATGCACACAGCTGTTCCTCGTGTGTTTTGTTTTGTATTGGTGATTGTGTTATACCCTGGAATATAAAGGTCTTCTAATGACACCTCCTTTAGAAGTGCTACATCAATGGCTCTTGACTTTAGAAGGTTTGATAGGATCGATATTTTATCTATGATTGATCTGATTGGGTTGCATATATTTAGTGTTAGTACATAAAATGCTGTTTGTTGTAGTGGAGATGTCATTTTTTTTCTACTTTCTTTAGAACGTATCAGAATCAACTGACATTGTTCTATCAATCTGGTGCATTTGAGTATGACCATCTATGAGAGTATCAGAAATTTCTTGGGTGGTGGAAGTTCTTCTCCAGGTTTCTCATCATGGACCTTATAAACTGCTTCGACTTCTTCTCCCCATGACGCATTGAAAGAGCTTGCACCAATGGTTTCCAAAATATTGTTCTGAGAGTTTTGTGTGCTTGACTGTTTTTCAATTGTGACTAGGTGATACATCCCCACCACAATTGTGGCACTTTGTGCATTTGTTTCTGCTGTGGTGGATGCTTGTGACATGGGTTCTTCTGGTATGTTGTTGGGCGGGATGTTGGTGTCATTTAGGTTTGAGTCTACTTCGTCTGAATGTAGAGATGGTGTATTGCTGGCATATGTGTTCAAATTTATGTAACCGCCAGAGATTTTTTCTGCATATGTAATGTTATTGACAGTTTTTGCTAGTCTTGCTCTACCTGCTGGACACTCTTGTCCGACATGACGAGGTTTACTGCATATCAAGCATGTTTGTACTTGATTGGGATATGTGACAAGGGTGGTTTCATTATCAATCTTTACGAATGGTGGGATAGGGACTGATCTTCAGTTTTAATGTGAAAATGCCAGTGAAAACATTTGTAACTTTCACACTGCTGCTCCATTTTTCATTGGTTATTGATTGTACTTCCCCATATTTTCTCATTTCCGCTGATATCATTGATGGGTTAGTTTCTGCTGGCGGGTCGTGAATCCGTACGTCCACCGCGTCATCCACCATATTGATTTCTACTGGACATATTCCATCATCGGTTTGATATTTCAGCTGTGTGTTGCTGTACAAGGAGACAATATCCTGAGCTGTGGCAATATTCGTCATTTTCATGTAAACCTGTTTGGAGAGACTTGGGATTTGTATGGTGTCAATGGTTTTTGGGTCTAAAGTTATGTTTTCAAAAATCCAATTGTGAATTGATTGATGTGTTTGTTTTTTTGGAACATCTCTAAAGTTGATACAGAATGTATTTATTGTTTTGGGGGGCATTGTTGATGTTTTTATGGTGTCGATAAAATAACACAAAAAACTTTGGAGATGAGCACAGGTATATGCACTGTAAAAACTGGGTTCTCACGCAAAGGTGTTGCCTGCCTAGCCTAGCCTCACCCTGTTTTCGTACACTTCCATGATAAGTGAAACACATATGGTGGTTTATGCGATATAGGAAATATTTTGCATCTTTTTCAATTGCAATATGGATCACTACCCATTTCTAAAATGAAGACACATTTATTGTCTCTTCAGGATTTGCATCAGGCCAAACCCCTCTCCCAAAATCACATAAACAAGGCATGTCTTATTCCGAAGTCTATTCCCGATATGTCTCCGTCTCAGAACAGCATACAAACAAAGAAGAAGAGTGTGCTAGATTGAATAACTATATAACCTGCATCCTCCGTGAGATTGAGGAGAAAGGACCTCTGATAAAGAAACTACGGCAAGATTACAGCACCACCCTAGACGCAAACGATGCTCTGAAAGAGTCCAACGACACCCTCTTGGCTGAAGTTCAACAACTTCGCGAAGCTCACGCAGAATGCAAAAGATTGGAAGGGGTAACAGCCAGAGAAAATGCCAGGCTTAAGAAAGAAGTGGCTGATCTGTCCAGACAAGTGGTCCACCTACTTCAAGAAGTCGAGCATTCTAGGGTCGGCTCGTCCTCAACTTCCACCGATAACGATTTGAGCGATAGCGTCAGCTCTGCGGACATAATCTCCAAGAAGTTGGTGACCTTCAATGACATCTCTGAACTCCAAACTACCAACCAGAAACTTCTCGCTTTGGTCAGAGAACTAACAGAACGACAAGAGGAGGTCGAAAGCATCGACCCAGCTGCTATCGCCAACCTCAGAATGAAACTAGAAGACTTGAGACAATCTCAAAACGAGCTTCTCGAAGAACGCGACCGACAGAACAAAATGATGGTCACCCTGAGAAACCAGCGAGATATGTACAAGAACTTGTACAGTCAAGCTGTGAAGGGAGCTGGAGAGGAAATACCTTCTCAGCTAGAACGTACGTATCTTCCTGAGAATGGCGAAACCAGAATGGATGAGTCACACCGGCAGGTTGATGAGAAGGTTCAAGAACTAGAGAACCAGATAGAAAAGTTATCCAAGCAGGTGGACCATCTCAAGGAAGAGAATGATACTTACCGAAAGGAGAAGTCTGCTAATGAGAAAATTCTTCTCGAGCAACTAGACAGTATGAGAGGCGAAGTCAAAGAATTGACCAGACTGAACTGTAAGCTGAGTTCCCATGCTGATGTAAACGCAGAAAAATTCAAAATGATGCAGAACAACATAGAAATCTACAAGAAACAAATCACTGCTTTAGAAAAACAAAGCAAAATCTATAGCGAATCCATTATCAAACACGAACAAGCAGCTACTTTCCTCAAAGATGAAACTATACTGTGCCAAACCAAACTTTCCAAGGCTGAGGTGATGCTAAGCAATCTACAGAAAGAAAATGCTCTACTCAAAGATGCTGAACAACGACTTCTGAAAGAAAGGGAATCCTCTAGCCGCAATTCCTATCAGCAAAACCTCATAAGATCCAACATTGAGCTTATAAAAGCGACTCTAGAGAGAACAGATGCAGAAGGAAAATTGAGATTCGAAGCTAGACTAGATGAAGCTCACAGGGAATGTGCAGCTCTCAGAAGAAGATTACAGGAGGAACAGGATCACTTCAGACAGCTATCAGATCATTTGGACAAGCAAACTAAAGCTGCCCAGGCCCGCATGGAAGAGGAGAAACAGCACGCTGATAAGTTGAGAGAGGAAGTTGCAGAATGCAGGGTCGACTTGGTGAACAAAACCTCTCAAATCGAAGAACTCAGCAAGAAAATGAAGATGGGTCTGTTCACTGTTCCAGATACCAGCGACGAAGTTCGTAGAGTGAGAGAATTGGAGCAGCAGCTGGCAGATGCTGAAGCAGAGATTAATTCATTGAAAACGAAACTAAAAACAGCCAAAGAGGCTTCTGATGAGTACTTTAATGTCGCTGAAGCCTCAGAGAAGCAGGTGAAAGATATTATGGACCAAAATGAATTACTTCAACAAGAAATTGAATTGGGAAAAAATAAAATCAAGCAGTTGGAAGAGAAGTGCAGTGAGTTGGAAGGCGAATTGTCCATTCAGATGGACGATCAAGATATTAACAATGCCAGCATCAAGAGCAAATCCACCCAGCTGCAAGAAGAACTGAATGTCAGGAATATGGATTTGCGAACAGCTAGGGAGCAGCTAGAAAATGCTAGATGTGAAAACAAGTCCTTGGTAGAGCAGCTCAAAGCTGTCGAAAATAAGTATGCCAGAGAAGTTACCTTACACTCTGTCGACTTGCAGTCCCTTACTGCCATGAAGGAAGATCTCGACAAAGCCTTGGACGAACTCAATCAGATTGAAAGCGAAAAAACTCAAGCTATAGAAAATCTCAACGAAAATATCCAGAACTGGGAGGAACAGGAGAAGCTGTTCCAAAAAGAAAAGGAAGAGATTCAGTCTCGATTCAGTGACATAGATGCCCAAAACAGTTTGCTGCACGACCAGATTCAAGCCCTAAACACCCAGCTGACCATATTACAGGCTCAAGCCTCTGATCAGCAAAATACATCAGTTGGAGACGCTTCTTTCAACAAATCTTTCTCGGAAGACGATGCCAAGTCCTCCGAGCAACTGCTCAAGATCATCAAGTACTTGAGACAAGAAAAAGACATAGCCGTCAGCAAAGCCGATATCGTAGAAGCCGAACACGTTAGGCTCAAATCCCAGTTTGATATGCTGAACAAACAGCTGGAAGAAGTCAAGTCAGCTTTGGAAGCGGAGAGACAGAAATCGGAAGTGTCTGTGGTGTCTGGGGCTAAACACGCCGAAGTCTTGCGCAAACTAGAAACACTGAATGCGATAACTGACAGCAATAGATACTTGAGACAAGAAAGGGACGCGTTCTATGCCCAAATCACCGAGTTACGCGCGAAAACTGAAAAATTAGACGTCGAGGTGGAACCCCTGAAGGAAAAGAACAGGGAGTTGACCACAAAATCAGACCAGCTGCAGAGCGAAAACATCTCGCTTCGTGCCGAGTGCACCAGGTGGAGGCAGAGAGCCAACATGCTCATCGAAAAAACGAACAGAACCAGTCCCGAAGATTGGAAAAAACTGCAAACGGAGCGCGAAACTTTGGCCAAGCAGTTGACGATCGAAAGGTCTACAGTTACCAAGTTGAATGACGACATCAACAATTTGAAGCAAGATAAAGGAAAGTTGGAGGAGCAGCTCAAGAGTATCCGAGCTCAAAATAACCAACAAGCTGAAGAGTTATCTAGGCTGCGTCAAGAAGTAGCGAATTTACAAGTTCAAGTAGCACAGCTCACTGATACTATAGACCAACAGAGCGGTGAGATCCTCAAATTCAAGGAAGAAAACAGGATTCTCACTGAAGATACAGCCTCCAAGGACGTATCTATCACCGAACTGAAGAACAATCTGGCACAAATCAGGAAGATTGCCAAGAAATACAAGATTCAATATGAAGAACAAACCAAGGAGCTCGACACAATGAAGCAACAGAACAAACAACAGGAGTCGGAGCATATTACGACATCGGAACGTCAGGAGCAGCAGCTGCAAGAGCAGAGAACCGAATTGGAAGAGAGACTCACGCAACTGGAGATCGCTCACAAGGAAGCCATCGAGCAGTTGAATCAACAGATCGCCTCCAGTACCGAGCAGATCGAGACCTACAAGAAGGAAGTGGAGACTCTGAAGCAGTCCAGTTTGGACAAAGAGGAGCGCTTCAAGACCCTTTTCAAGAACGCAAAGGATAGGATAGTCAGTTTGACCGAGCAGAACACCAATCTCAAGGAGGAGCTGAACAAGGACAAGCCGGGCAGACTGGCTGCGTCAGATCAGGCTGCCGAAGGTTCGAGACAGAACGAGGAGCTTCTGGAGAAGATAGCCAGTTTGGAGAGGGAGAGGGACGAGCTGAACGAGGAGAAGCAGCAGGAGAAGGACAGGTTTTCCACGGAGTTGGAGGGATTGACTCAGAGAGTGAACCAGCTGCAGAGACAGTTGGGTCTGCAGCAGGGGTCAAAGCCCAGCACCAGTTCCACCTCTTCGGAGAAGTCTTCGACCGAAAGGCCGACGGCCGATATCAAACCGATGGCAGGTGAGTCGAAATTCTGTTAGATACATATACAGGGTGTTACAAAAGATATTTCGAAATATGGAATAAATAACATTTATGTTTTATGTATTTTTATAGGTCATTCAACAAATACTCAAACACAGTCTGTTCCAATTCAACCTTGGAGAAGCGGTGGTGAGCCTCCCTTGGCCAGTATTAGACCAATGTCGGCTCAACTGAGAACGGTAGCCGTTTTGCCAACTAGTCAAAGCCCCAGCGCTGTCATGGTGCCACCGCAACAGCAAGTTAGTTATTTTTCTACATCTCGCTAAAATTTTTCGCGATAATTGTTGTCTTGTTATTCTCTCCATTGCCTTTGAAACTCCGCTCAGAATTAACAATCATTATAACATTCGATGCGCTTTCCGACCGTGGTACTCGTAGTAGTGATCAGATGGCGATCACGTGGTCTGGAAGTCAGGTGAGTGTGTGTCCAAAATTGAAGTTTAATAAATGTGTGTGAAAAATATTAGACCCCTTCATCTCTACGCCAGTAACCAGGCCGGATGATAACGGATTTACCGGATAAGGGGGCCATACTTGAAGTCAAACGTACTCCATTATCTCTACGCAGGTACCCAGGCTGGATAACAACAAATTTGTTGGATAAGCGGAGTGCATACAATTGAATATTATAAACATTTATGGACTCGGCTTATGGCCATGGTGATAGACAAGCGGTGTCTTATGTGGTCGAGTCCAGTGATAATATTACATGATCAAGTATAATTATTCTTGATAAAATAATTACTGGATCTGGAGAAGATTGTTACCGAAATAAGACAGAAATCCAATAACACAGAACGAAGAAGAAGATTATAACATTATTTCCAAACATTGAAATACAAAAAAATACAACTTGTCAAAGTTTATTCTTGAAATTCGGCACACTTATCACTAATACATATTTTTGTCAATTTCTACATCAAAGTTATTAAAAACCTAGCAACATATTTATGTGCCAAGGACGAAAAACTGTTTATTATAGTCGAACATGCACATTGATGGCCGAGGTCCACCCGAGGCTAGCACGAGTCAATATACAGTTTTTCGCCGAAGTGCCTATTAAATTTTTTTCGTCTATCACACCACGGTCTTAATTCACACGTAAAATCTATCGGATTTCGTAAATTATTCATTTGACAACAGCAAATGACAGTTGTTGTGAACTCAATCACTGGTCTCGCACGTTACCATCGAGATTAGAAGACCAGTAGACTCTGACGTAAACAGCTGGTGACGTCACCTAAGAGAGGCCAGTGTTTTATAGCTTGTCGACTAACGCGTCAGTTCGTGTTAATTCATGTTCGATGGTTCACGTTTGTTTTTTTTTTTTAGAAGCGGTTCCGAATTCTTTTGTTGTTTATTCATCAAAATAGTTGGCGGAAAAATTATTGTTTTGTGAAATATTTTGTGTTGTGATAGGCGAAATAACAATGCCTTTCAAGTGTTGTGTTCCCTTTTTTCGGGGCAATTATGTGGGTGGTCCAAAAGTTCATGCTTTTAGTTTCCCGTTGGACGAGGAACTATCGAAAAAGTGGGTATATGCAATTCACCGCGAGGATTTTACTCCATCTAAGTTGAGTAGTAAACAGAGCTTAATTTATAATGATGAATGATTAATAGAAGACAATTGCTGTCTCATAAAAAGTATGAGTAGGGGAAAAAGAGAACAGCTCTGATTGTGCAGTTAGTTTTGTATTGTTCATAATAAACGGGCATTCTTTACTCAATACATTCTCAAGTTTCTTTCTGAAAACGGTCATTTGCCTCGTGGCAATGAATGCAGAATTCATTCCAATGATCAAATTTCGACTATCATATTAATATGTACTTCAAACACTACTTAAAAAAGTAAAACTGCATTTATCATGCGATGGATTCTTTTTCGAAAATTTTTTTTGATACTTACGTATTTTTGTCTGAAAAACAGGAATTTGATAATGAAAATGTGAACAAACCACTATTTATCGAGATATTTCAAGAAAAAGTTCGAAATTTCGCCTCCTTTCTCCACTTGTGTTGGGGGCAGATTCAATCGCCATAACTAAATGATTCAAACCGTTCCACCAGACCAGAATCACCGATTATCTCGATTACACGGTTTGAATCATTCCTGATCTGTCAGTTAACTCCAGAATGGGATTAAATCCGTTGGTGAAACCCGGCCTTAACAAAAAAACATACATGAGTAATAACAGAGTTTAACTATCAACTTAAAATAACATTACAATAGAGACTAGATGAAAGTAATAATTGATATTGCATGATTATTTGCTTTTTTTTTTTTTTTACTGTTATATCTTATTATAATTTCATAATTGTATGTATAACACTATGTATATTGTTTATGTATCCCTATTATAAACAACTATGTTTCTTGGGGGTAATAAAGACAATCAATAATGAGGTTAGATGAAAATTGAATAAAGTTGTGTAAGTTATTGTAAAAAACAATACAACATTCACCAAGAAATCTCGGAAATCATTGCAAAATAATCTGTACCGCTGTCCTGAGACATTCCACAAAGAGATAAAAATTATTTGCTTACAAAACCTTAATTATAGTTTATCCATAGTCAATTGAAGCGTCTCGAGCCGCATGTGCACACACTTCGAATGAACTTCAAATACGCCGACGCCGCGCGGTGCGGGAGATCCTCTAACTTTGGACTATACAAACTTTTTTTTTTTAATTATTTAAAATGTTTCCGTCTTCCTGATGTATTCAGTTTCACGTGAGTACAACTTGTATAGGGTTCTTACGGAGTGCAATGCCTGGTGATTGAATTAACCTTTAGTAGATTCAATTCTACAGAATAACTGCAAGAGTTAATGGAAAGATCAACGTATATTTGACAGTTCAATCAATTGATCATTCTAGAACACGTGATTTTGACATGGTTTCTTGAGGGGCACACAAACTTAGGTTACCTTTGATGAGCATAGCCCTGGCCATACCTGCCACATCCACAATATAATAACAATTTCACCAAACAAAATTTTGAAATTCTTTCTGGTTCCAACTCGGATTCCAAGGAAAACGATCCCACTAATTCTGGTTTTATATGACAAATCTTGACAAAATACAATGTTTGTCCCTCAGCAACCTGTCAAATGACGTAATTCTGGAGTGATTAATAATTATTACAACAACATCTATCAAAATTGACGACTTCTCAACATATATCCCTATAGTCCAGGAAGTTAACCAAATCAGCTCCCTCTCATTAATAGTACAGGATCTATCTCGTTACAAACTTTATTATTTCATCACTGATGTTTGCCATTTTGTTATGATTACTTATCAAATTTTATGTTTGTTTTTACAATGACTCACTCAACTTCTATGAGGTCCTGTAATAGGCAAGAATACTGATTTCTAGAAAAAATACTACGTCGTTCATTACGATGAGAAAATGCAGAGATAATTTTTTTGATTTTGTATTCTAGATATCCAAAATAAATTCCCAAAGAAATACGGAAGGATAATTCTTACTACCCGTTGTCCTATTACCCGTTTTCCCGTAGGAATGAGGCATTTTCTCACGGTAAAAAGTAACCTATGTTCATTCATCAGAGATAATGTCGTCTTCTAATGGTGAAAGCATTTTTCAAATCGGTCCAGTAGTTTCGGAGCCTTATTCAATACAAGCAAACAAACAAACAAATCTTTCCTTTAAACTCGCACCAAAATTCATTCACTGACGAGAAATGTAATTCACCAACAATAATTATCTGACAGTCCAAAGCGCACTCTTTATAAAAAAAATATATTTAAAATCCCCTACCAAGATTTTGAAATGTTCAATTGCGTTTTTCTCGAAAACGGATTAAAATATCGTTTTTAAACAAGAGTACCAATATTACGTAGAAATTACGTTCATGTCAGACTGGGTGTTCCATTTGAAAAATAAAACGAAGTTGCTGACATTTTCAGAAAAACCGCCATATTGGATTGTATTGTGATCAAATTCGAAATATAGATTATTTAGAAGTACCTCGGTGTCCTCCATCTACCCTTAATGTATGCGCATAAAGTGCCCAATGACAAAATAAGATGAGCAAGTTGCTGTAAATGCATTCAAGGCAAGGGGGAAAAATAAAGCGAAATTTCGAACTTTTTCTTGAAATATATCGATAAATAGTGGTTTGTTCACATTTTCATTATTGAATTCGTGTTTTTCAGACAAAAATACGTAGGTTACAAAAAAAAATCGAAAAAAAAAACCATTGCATGATAAGTGCAGAATTACCAACGTCCCTTATTTTACACATCATTTCTGAACAAGAAACCTCGAAACAGTTATTTTTGTATCTAGAGCGCGAAGTGCTACTTTGGTGATACGCCAAAAAATAGTCGAGATGACCAAGGTATTTCGTGCTCGAGTTGCAAACAACATTTTTTTCTACAAACGTCAAAAAATATAGTTCTAAAGAAAAAATATGCTTAGCTTGATATAAAACATAGTGTTGAACTGGCTTAAAAGGCCTCCCCCTATCCTCCCTAAATACGCACGGTGTTCCACGTACATAATAGGAATTTCCTTTCGTGCGCTCCAAGAGATAAAACAAAGGTATTGTTGAACATTCAGAAATGAATGATTTCGTGGATGTTTGCTTGACTGAGAACCATAAAGTTGAAATATAAATATCTCATATATTTTACATAACAGTGCGCGAAGTAGGTACTTCGCGCACTGTTTTACTTCGTGTATTGTTTTGTGCAAGATATCATGGTATCGTAGGAAACTGAAAAAAAGTGTAACTTCGCAATTTGTTATCAATGCGCGAACCTTGTCATTTTTTGACGTTTGTAGAAAAAAAAAACATTCAATATCGAAAAGTACAAGTGAAAATCGAAATGGATTTTGCAGGTTCACACCACCGGCTCCAGCACCATCGAATCGCTGTCGAGCAGCCCGACCAGCTCGCACACGGACTACGTCCCCGCCACCAGTTCGGCCTCCTCTGCCGCCATGATGGGCCCCCGGCAGGTCGCTGTGCCTCCCACGCAGTCCTCGCAGGACGCCGAGGACGACGAGAACAACGGGCAGGTGCAGCAGGTGGGGAGCCAACAAACATTTTCTTGTATAATTCAAGTCATTTCGACTCGACCTAAGAATAGGTCAACGACTAAAGTTGGATTTATGCAGCAACATTTAACAATTATCAAGTAACATTTATCAATTAACAATTATCAATTAACAAGTGATGAAAATATTGACATTTATGCGAACCAAATTAACAATTAATGGATTAATAGTAGGCAAGCGCATATGCCCTAATTTTTTTTTATGTTCTGGTTCCCACAAAAATGAATATCCTGCAATGTTCAGAGAACATCGTATGAACCAAGGAAAATAAGGTAAGAATTGGTGTCTTTCTTGTATTTCTGGAAGTTATATACCTCGGGGAACACCTCCCTTGGCAATGTATTCCAAAGCCTCGCTGTTCGTTGGATGAACGAGTCTTTGGAAAGAGATGTTCTGCAGGTCTCAAAAGTGACCACGAGGTGGTGCGAAGCCTCAACTCGACGGGTTAGTCTCGCGGGGACTGCCAAAGGGGGAACAATTGTTGATATTTCAGAAGAACATCGTCCATGGAAATATCTATAAAATAGAGCCAGATCGCCAACTTTTCTACGGTGTTCCAGAGAAGTGAGTGAGTTTGTGAGCGAGGCATCACCCACGAGACGAATTGCCCTTATTTGGATAGAATCCAACAGTTTTTGGGTATGTTTGGGTGCTGCAATCCAAATATGGGAAGGATCTGTGCCTCATAGATCATAAGCAGCTGACTGGAAGTGAAATAGCTCCTGCCCGAAACAGCAAACCAAGTTTTTGGAATGCACTTTTAGCAATTCTACGGTGTTCCAGAGAAGTGAGTGAGTTTGTGAGCGAGGCATCACCCACGAGACGAATTGCCCTTTTTTTTTTGATAGAATCCAACAGTTTTTGGGTATGTTTGGGTGCTGCAATCCAAATATGGGAACAGTATTCCAGGACAGGTCGGATCTGTGCCTCATAGATCATAAGCAGCTACTGGAAGTGAAATAGCTCCTGCCCGAAACAGAAAACCAAGTTTTTCGGATGCACTTTTAGCAATTGATCTCATGTGATTTTCACAAGAAAGGGTATTGCTGATAGTAATCCTAACCATCGAAATGAATGTCTTCAAAGGTATGGTTACTCCTGAAAAGCTTATGTTGGGCACAGTGAGATCGGCTTTCCTAGAGAAAAGACATGCTTGTGTTTTGTTTGCATTGAAATCTACCAGGTTATTGGATCCCCATTGGAGAATTGTTGCCAAGTCCATATTTATGTTGTCAACATTTCTTCCTCGTTTGTTTTTGATTTGCCTGGCTGGTATTGGAGCCCTGGAAGAGAAGGCGGTCTGGAGGGTACTAGCATCCGCGAAGCTGTGTACTGGACTTCCAACAAATCGTTGATATGGAGTAGAAACAGTGTTGGTGCTAGAATTGATCCTTGCGGAACACCAGCATCTATGATAAGAGAGTCAGATGAAACTCTGTCGACCACTACATGGAGAGACCTGTTTGGGAGAAAACTAGCTAGCAGAGAACATAGCTGGGGAGGCAAGCCAACAGACGACGATTGGGAGAATGGAATCTTCACAAAAATCCAAGCTAAATCGGGGAATGTCTGGGAAGCCCCAAGTGAGTGCGAGCTCATGCTCCCTTGCGATAAAAACATTGACACTGACTCTAAATCAGTGAGGAGAGCAATCAACATGTTTGGAGGTAAAGAGTGCCTCAGAAAACAAAATAAGCAGAAGGGTGGCCTGGCACTGATGACGCACTCACTAGGATTCCCAGATAGCGATGGAAACTTCACTCATAGTGTAAGAGGCATATATTATCCAATCCTGACAGATGGAGAAGTGCAAGAAGGAACCGAGGACCGTATAGTGTACCAGTCCTTGAGAACCGCCAAGATGTACATGCTGGAACACAACAAAACAAAGCTAGCCCTACCACAAGTCGAAGGAACTATAGGAACTACGCTTGTGAGAATGCTAGAATTTTTATACGCAGACACCAATGTGGAGATCACAGTGTACATGGGAAACGAAGGACAAGAGAACACGAATTCCTCGAATGGGGCGAAAATTGCTAGTGGAAGTAGACGAAACACCTTACCAAGTGGAACAAACGTCCAAAAGAGAAGGAAGAAGCCGGCACAGGAGGCAATACTTGTGAAAATGAAGGATACATCATACGCAGACTTATTGAAGACCATGAAACAAGCAGTAAACCCTAGTGAAATTGGAGTAGATGTGAGTGAAATCAAGAAAACCAGAAGTGGGGATCTACTTCTGACAGTGCGAAACGGCCCAGCTAAAGCAGAAGCCTTGAAGAAAGAAATAAGCAGAAAAATTCAGGGGACGACAACATCCCTCCTTATTAATAAAAAAGTTTTGCACATAAAAGATCTGGACGAAGTGGTAACTGAGGAAGAAATAAGGAGAGCTGTATGCGAAGCTATTTCTGTGAGTCTCACTACAAATACAGTTGAAGTGCGTGCGTTACGACCTGCCTTTGGGAACAGGCAAAATGCTACACTGGTGATGACTGAAACAGATGCCCAACAAATCACACAACTGGGGAGAATCAAAGTAGGATGGACAATGTGCAAAGTTACCGAAAGGAGAACAGAAACGAAATGCTTCAGAAACTGGCAGTATGGGCATACCAAAGCAAAATGTGATGGCCCCAATAGAGAAAACTTAAGCATAAAGTGTAGCAAAGAGGGACATAGAGCAGCAGACTGTAAGGACACTCCGTACTGCATACATTGTAACCAGGAGGGACACCAATCCGGAAGCATGAGATGCCAAAAGAACAATAGCAGAAGAAACATGGAGACATACCAAAATAATGGCAACAGCCAGCATGAAGCTCCTACAAATTAATATAAACAGGAGCCGTCCTGCTCATGATATGGCACTGGCCACTGCTAAGGACATGGGAGTTGGGGTATTAATGCTCAGTGAACCGAATCGAAAAGCAATAAAATCTCGAAAAGACTGGATTTACGATGAAGAGCTAGATACTGCTATAAAAGTGATGGCCCAGGATATTGCGATAAAACGTCAGGGAAGTGGATCTGGTTTCACGTATATCACGATACCTGAGGTGACAGTATATAGTTGCTACGCTTCCCCAAATCGAGATATTGATGAACTTGAAGAAACACTGCAAGAAATAGGAAGACGAATTAGGCTTAATAAGGAGAAAGCTATTGTGGTCGGAGACTTCAATGCAAAATCCCCACAGTGGGGCATGAATCTCACAGACAGAAGAGGCCAAGTTGTAGTTGAATGGATTGCTGAAAATGATCTAGTTATCGTGAATAAAGGTAACAAGCCAACATTTCAAAGGCAGGACTACTTCTCCATTCTAGACCTAACTCTTGCAACGCATGACATGATTAGCAGGATCACGAAATGGGAAGTCATCGATAAAGAAACCCTAAGTGACCATAATTATATATTTTTCGAATTCCTGGGGTGTACGAAGATACCAAGACAAAATAATCCTCAACAAACAAAGGGTTGGCAAGTGAAGAAACTTGACAGACAAAAACTACAGAGCGCACTTGACGAAACTACCTGTGACGATGACATGACGAGCGCTGATGGTTTTTCGAATTTATTGAAACGAATCTGTGATGAAACTATGCCAAAGAAAAAACAAATATGTAAAGGAAAACCAGTATACTGGTGGAATGAGGAGATCGCGGAGCTTCGCAAGGAGTGCATATAAAAACGGAGAACGCATTTACGATATGCGAGGAGAAACTTGCCTGAAGATAATCGGCGCTTGTGGGAAGATTACAGTGAATGTAAGAAACAACTGCGCAACAGTATCAAGAGGGCAAAGAAATCCAGCTGGAGAGAAATCTGTGATGATATTGACTGTGATATTTGGGGAGATGGTTACAAAATCGTCATGAAGAGATTGAGTGGTTTCCCGCCGAGGCCACAAATGACAATGGAAATGACTGATGAAGTCGTTAACCATCTCTTCCCTGTACATAACCAAGTGATATGGAACTGTGATAATACTAGGATATTTAGAAATTTTACACCAGAAGAGCTGCTCTTGGCGAATAATAAAATAAAAAACAAAAAGGCATCCGGACCAGGAAACATTTCACCTGAAATAATAAAGGAAGTCACACTCAAGAAAACATAATATGTATTGAAAGTATACAATGAACTCGCGAGAAGAGCCGACTTTCCATCAGCTGGGAAAGTTGCAAGACTAGTTCTGCTAAGAAAAGGGGACAAACCGCTAGAAAATCCTGCTTCATATCGACCACTCAGCCTCCTGGATGCAGAGGGTAAGTTATATGAGCAGTTAATTCTGATCAGACTCAAGGATGAACTGAGAAGAACGGGAGGTCTATCAGACAGGCAGTATGGATTCAGAGAAGGCAGACAGACTGTAGATGCTGTCAACGCCGTCGTGGATATTGCTAAGAGAGCAGCAGAATACTCACCCCAGCACCGAAGGCTATGCGCAATAATCACACTAGATGTTAAAAACGCATTCAACAGCGCAACGTGGCAATTCATCCTAGATGAATAGAAGAGAGCCTCATAAACATAATCGCTTCCTACCTGTCGAACAAGAACATAATTCTGGAGGCAGAAGATACAATGAGACTTAGGCCGATAAACAGTGGCGTACCGCAGGGATCCGTGCTGGGCCGAAGGTTGTGGAACATCCTCTATGATGACCTGCTAGAAATGGATCTACCTGAGGGAGCCACAATGATAGGTTTCGCGGATGATGTAGCGGTGGTAGTAGTTGCGAAGAATAAACCAGTGCTGATGAACACTACGAACACTGCCCTACAGCTAGCTGCGAACTGGATGGAAGGAAGACGGCTCCAGCTGGCGCCAGAAAAAACTGAAGCAGTGCTCTTAACGACGAGAAGAAAGATCAACCCGATAGAATTCAACATCCAAGGTACCATAGTTGAACCCAAGAAGGCGTTGAAATATCTAGGAGTGTGGTTGGATACAAAACTCACCTTCGCCGAGCATGTTAAGAAAACCACCGAGAAAGTCGAAAAAACAATAACGGCCTTAGCAACAAACCTCATGCCCAATGTTGGAGGACCCAGAGCGTCACTCACAGATGCTGTACGCAGCGCCTGTCTGGCACACCGTTACAGGAAATAAAAAGCTCACGCAGAAACTGCTCAGACTCCAGAGGTTACTATCAATAAGGGTATGCAGTGCATACAAAACAACATCAACGGAAGCGGTAGGAGTTCTAGCAGGAAACCCTTCCATAGACTTATTAATAAAGGAGAGATCGGAGAGATATAACGGCGTGAAGCAGAAAACAGCCAGGAAAAACCTCATCACGAGATGGCAAGAAAAATGGAGGAATGGGACCTACGGACGATGGACTTTCAAACTTATACCAGACATTCAAACATGGATAAATAGACCTTACGGCGAGATGGACTACTTTCTTATCCAAGCACTCTCGGGACATGGATGCTTCAATCAATATCTTTTTGAACGCAATAGAGCAGATACGGATCGGTGCATATATTGCAATGACGTCGATGATGCGGAGCACACGCTTTTCCTATGCCCAAAATGGGATGACACTAGGATGGAATACCTACGAGTGACAGGAAGAGAATTTAATCTGTTGAATATGATGGAGAGCCTAGTAACGGCAGAAGAAACATGGAAACAAGCATATGAAACTGTACGACAAATAATTGGGAACAAGGAAATGGAAAGTAGACGATGAATTCAAATACAGCCTTCACACTGAAGTAATGCGCGAGCGGATACCAGTGCGAAGTGCAAGACGAGAGAGGAGGGGTTTTAGTCGGTAAGAATCCGATACTACCCTACAGGGTGTCTTATGTAGGATTTCCCCTCTCCTCTCTCACAAAAAAAAAGCCATAAGATGGAAGCTTGGCGAGGAGTCCGTGGTGCCAGACTCGATCGAATGCCTTGGAGATATCAAGTGCCACGGCTAAGGTTTCACCATATTCTTCAATAGATTGCTGTCATATATGTGAGACGTAAGTGAGCAGGTCAACAGTTGGTCTCTGATGACGGAAACCATATTGCCTATCATTGATAATACCTGAATGTTCGAGATATTTCATGAGCTCAATATTGATAGCTTCCTCCATGATCTTTGAAATAAAAGATAGCAGTGCGATCGGTCTGTAGTTGCTAGGTAGGGTTTTTTTCCTTTTCTTAGAAACTGGACTATCAAAGCATAACCTTACAAATTCGTTGTTTACAATTTATATAAGGAGCTAACATTTCGAATTTCATAATGTTTTCTTTCAATTTATCCTGTTGATTGCAACCGTTTCATGTTGAAACAAATTTCATAACATGAGTCAGATATCAGGTCTGACCAATCCATGCCTTCTCTACCAGTCGATGAAACCAATCCGTGATCATCTACGTACTAGTTGCGCACTAGAAGAAAACCTGGTTCAAACAAAGTAAGAAAGTTAAAAGTGGGCCAACTTCTTGTTACTTGTTAATTAATAATTGTTAAATGTTTGCATAAACACCTTCATTGAAAATAGGAAGTTCAACTTTTAATTGCTACTTGTTGAATGATAAATGTTTCTTGATAATTGTTGAATGATGGCAAAAGTAAATATGTAAAAACTTCAAACGGCGAGATTTCAACAAAACGACATTTTCCACTAACACAGTAGCTTCATCAGGTGAAATACTGGTACAATGAAATAAACTAACCTTGGCTTGCCTAACTTATATATATCCTATTTTTCCAACCTGAAGGATTAGAAAGTTAGGCAAGCCAAGGTTAGCAAGGAATTTTTTTTCAATATTTTATTTATGAATTAAATATTGTAAAGTTTCGGAGCATCGGCTGGGGATAGTCCTGCACGATTCGCTGTTGCGTTCCAATTAACAGTGCTGCTCCTAAAGTGGCGCATGGAGTTAGTAACAAAGCCTACACAGAACACGCAGAAAGAGATGATGATGTGGTTGTGAGCATCAGAGAAGAAGTAGGACGGTGTATGTAGGTGGGTGTGGAAAACTACCAGCTGAGCGTTAGAGCGGGCCAGCTGCTTAATGGACCCCAGTCTCTAACGGGGGTTAACGAGGATAGCTAGCAGGCCTGCCACTGCGCATATGGTAGTGAGTACATTACTAGCCTACAAAACACAGCCGAAAAACTCTGAAAAGAGAGCTGATGGGCGGTGCCTGAAAAGGATGTTAGCCAGCTCTCTTGAGCGAACCATATCAGTCATTGAAAACACTTGGGGTTTGTAAAAAGGTCCCATTAGGGACGTGCAAACGTCCCCCACCAGTACCAGTACCAGTGGGCAAGTCAAGGTTAGTTTATTTCCTTGTACCAGTATTTCACCTGATGAAGCTACTGTGTTAGCGAAACATGGCGTGTGATTAAGAATATTCTGGAAATCTCATCGTTTGTGAAGTTTTTACATTTGCTATGGATTTCCATCGAGTAAAGGCCGAATCAATAATAAAAAAAAAATAATACAAAGTAAATATTGTTTATTGTTTACTGAGAAACTAGCTTCCAGTCAGAAATAAAATTCTGGTATGAGGAAGATGATTACAAACAACAATAATAAAATAATATAAGGTGACAACAACTACAACAACAAAATCTGAAAAATCTAAAAATGCTGAATCGATCAAGTCATAAAAATAGCCACAGGGACTAATCAGTAAATGGCAAAGCATCAATTTTATCCGTTTCGTAATAAAATCAAATTCTAAATTTTGAAATATGTCTGCAATTTTTTATATTTTGTGGTGATTTACTGAATTCAGCTAGAGCAAGAGTACATATTTTTGACCAATTATAGAAGTAGCAGAATCAAGATGAAATAAATTTAATTGTCTCATGTGAAATGCTCCAAGATGGCGGACAAGATTTGGTCCGATTCCATTTAAAATTGGTAAGTGGGGGTTTTTGAGGTCGGAGATCATGATTTTTTTGTTAAAATTTATGAGTTCAAGATGGCGGCTTCCAAATAATTTTTTGTTTTTGTATAAAACAATTACTGCGACATATCATCTGTAAGAGAAAAAAAAGTTATTTGTAACTATGTCAAAGTGAGCTATGACCTTCATTTGAAAAACTAAAGTTGGTGCTGATATCTCAAATTCTAGAAGAGTTGGTATAAATTTCATTCGAAATCACTTTGAAAAACTGCCATGAAAATGTGAAATTCCTATTTGAATATTTTCATAAAAAAAATGATCAAAATCTGTTTTTTGCGTATAAAACAAAAACGAATAGTAAATAAATGTGTCATTTCCACCCAGTGTTCATAAAATGAACAACAATGGTAGATTTCGGGAGAAAAACAACTACTTCCCTGGCTAATGCCACGCAGGATATTGAATTACATCTTCCCGAAATCTATGCATCGACTCATTTAATACTGTTACAAGTGATTCTTTCCTGAATGCCTATTGATTTCGATTAAGCCAGGCCGCTAGACAACCACAGACCGGTTTCGAGCTCTTTGACTCTCATCAGTGCAGTGTAGTCTCCAGCCAGCAGTCCTTAGACCGCCGACTCAGCGAGGGAAGTAGTTGTTTATCTCCCGAAATCTACCATTTGGGTGGAAATGACTGTGAGCTTTTCACATTTATTTACTATTTCATTCCACTGTGATCATTGTGGCTATTTCGTAGTTCATATCACGCCAGTCGGGCTGCCAGCCACTCCCTTATGGGAATTTCAGTTTTGGAGTGATTCTTTCCTCGGTTCTACTCAGATGGCGTTACTTTCATTTTATCGATGAAAGACGCCTCGGGGTGGATATAATGCCAACTTGATTTTTGTTTGGCTAGGCTTCGCTGAGTCGGCGGTCTTAGGACTGCTGGCTGGAGACTACACTGCACTGATGAGAGTCAAAGAGCTCGAAACCGGTCTGTGGTTGTCTAGCGGCCTGGCTTAATCGAAATCAATAGGCATTCAGGAAAGAATCACTTGTATCAGTATTCGTTTAAACGAGTCGATGCATAGATTTCGGGAGGATGTAATTCAATATCCTGCGTGGCATTTGCCAGGGAAGTAGTTGTTTTTCTCCCGAAATCTACCATTGTTGTTCATTTTATGAACACTGGGTGGAAATGACTGTGAGCTTTTCACATTTATTTACTATTTCATTCCACTGTGAGCATTGTGGCTATTTCGTAGTTCAAAAACGAATAGATTTTTTCAAAATATTTTTTCACATTATATTTGGCCTTGACAAACTAGACATTTGGTGTCATTTAACCGACCTCGTATCTCTCACCGTTAAAAAGATACCCATGGTGAGCATGGTAAGTGGGACACACTGTATATTATGTATAAATGTGTACATATGAATATGTATATGTATCAAATTTTGTTCAAACCCATTTTCTTCAGTATATCCTGAGTATTAACTTTACATATTAAGATTCACACCTGTAATTGGGCCTTGCCTGTTGGATGTAATGGGCGTGTACACCTCAGTAGAACTTTTAACTCAAACCATGTTTATAATGATCCTTTGATACATAAATAATGATTGACGACATAATTCGATCAAAAAATTTATTGGAATATTTTATTTTTGGACATAAATAATAGTACCTCCAGAAAACGGACCCTGCCCTTATGACGTAGGAACCTCATCTCGCCATAGTTAAAAGAAAATACCAAGCCCGACGGAGACTGAGGCAACTGATATATTAATTCTTTCAACTGTGATCTCGCGCTAATTCACTCTGTCAGAAATCATGTATCATTCATCTCTGTCTGGAATAGTCTTGTATCAGTATCAGGGTTTTGACGTCACATCATCGCCTCGTTTTCAGAGGTCCGAAAAATCGGGGATTTCAATAATTTTTTATAAAACGTAGGGAGCTCACAGCAAGAAACGGTTTGCTGTGGTGAGCTAGTTTGGGTGAGTTCTTTCGAATTATGAAATAAATTTTTTTTGTGATATAAGCCCATTGAAATAAATAAATATCAATGCGTGAACTAGGTATTTCGCGCATTGTTTTGTGCAAGGTATCATGGTAACGTAGGGAACTGAAAAAAATGTCACTTCGCAATTTGTTATCAAAGCAAGATTCTTGTCATTTTTTACGTTATTAGAAAAATGTGATTTTTGTAGAGGTCGGCAAAAAAAAATTATTGAAAAAAGTCATGACTCATTCCTACCCTGCTTACTGTAATATAACATCGGCATCATTGATTTTGCAGGCCCCTCAGACGCAGGCCGTCGCTCTCGTTCTGCCCAGGGTGGAGCCCCCGAGCGCGGGACCTGCGCCGGAGCAAGGCCCCAGCAGCGGCAGCGGCAGCAACGCCGTCACGACGACGCAGGCGGGGCACAAGCGGCAGCGCGACGCCGACGCGGACGACGGCAGCGGCTGTCAGGCGGACGACCAGCCGAAGGGCCAGCCGAAGAGCAAGCGGACGCGAGTTCAGGTGAGGGGTTACTTCGAGGTCCGAACCACAGAACTCATATTGAGAGTTTCAATTCTATATATTTCATCTAAAGAATACGTATTTGTTATTTCAAACAATTGATTGGTTGATGTATCAAATGGGAGACGATACAATAGTTTTAACGATTTTCTATATAATGTTGATATTTTATTGAAATTGTTCTTTGAACAAGTTCCCCAAACATTTATTAAATAGTTGATACGACTCAGTATATGAGAGTAGAGAATCATGTTTGCAATTTTAATATCAAGTTTGGGACATCTTCTCAATGCACCAATAATTGGAGATATTTTTTTTGTCAGAACATCAATATGTTTGTCCCACTTCAACCTGTCATCAAACCAAATTCCAAGATATTTTATCTGGTCAGTTTGTGAATGACATATCGTTAAATAACGATAATTTTCTTGAATCGAATTCACTACAGATTTGACAGACGGTAACAAGCGACAATCTATCATCAGAACATCGTTTATAGACGATAGCTATTCAGCGTATCGGTAGGATAACATGAGCACAAAAACAATGAACTCAAAATATCCTCTCATCCATCGGTTTTCTGTTGGAGATGGATACAGTCAGTCTTTTTGAATTTTCAGAAGGGTATCAGAGGAGTTAGATATAAATATTTTTCTACAAACGCTTAACAAAGTAGCCTTTGACGCTTTCAAATTCCAGCACAAAGTTGACGTTTTCCCAGAAATGTCATTCTTTGACAGCATTTGCGCTCGTGAGCGGAAATATTGAAAAAACGCTCGCACATCTCTGTAACCTATACTTATCTATTCTTGAAAGCCCCCAATTATGTCATGATGTGGAAAATAGTGACAGTGAATCATCAAACACACCTCCTTCCTGATGATATAGCAGAAAGCGCAAGAGTTTGAATCTCTTACCGGAGAAATCAAGGAAGAAATATGAATTACAATATGATATATTCATAAATTGGTGCCACTCCGAGATGGTGAATATGTATTCAGAAAACGTTTTACTGGCTCATTTTGGTAAAAAATCAAAGACTTTGAAGTCATCAACTCATTGGTCTATATATTCGATGGTACGTATACATGCTTATGATAATATCGGAATCGATAAGTATCTGAAACTTATCGCATTTCTCAAGAAACAATCTATTCGATATAAAGCGAGAAAAATCCAAAACAATCACCGCTGAAGATATATACCAACAAATTTCTACAAGAAGCTCCCGATGAAGCATATCTGTTGAAAACGATGAATTATACTTTATATTTAAACTCTTTGTTGTCATCAGAAAGACAGTGTATCTTTATTTTATTGCATCAATGAGTAATGTTCAATTTGATTACAGAGTTTATCGTACTATGGCTCAGAGGTCTGATGCTCAGGTTGCCACGCTGGTGGTCCAGTTTCAACTCTCGGTAGGCCCGACATTTTTTTTCTTGCTTGTCAGTTATTTCAATTTTTCTTTTTTTGTTTCTTTGGACATATGGGATAATATGGATAATAACTTTTTCAACTATTTCAATCGCTCATACTTTCAGGGTGGTTATTTCCAAAAGCTGCGTTAGTAGAAAAAATCTTGTGTGTATTTCGAGCACAAAGTGATATTGCCGCTCTCCAAAGATTACCGCGCTTCGCTCCGCATCGCGCGGTAACTTTCTTTGTCGAGCGGCAATCTATCACTTTGCGCTCTAAATACACAAATAGCTATTGTAGATATTCACTTTATTTTGATTCAGACAAGTGAATAAAAATTTGATTAGACGCTTGAGGAAGAAACTTTCGGAAGGATTATCGGTTACCCAGAGAGCTATAGTTTGGGGGGTATTCTCTCATAATATGTTGCAGCATCCCAAGGAGGCCAGTAGGGATACTAGAATATACCATCAGTTGTAAATATAATCGGAAAGTACCTACGTACTGATGTACCATTCTGTTGTTACCAAAAATCTATTGAAAGAGACAAATCATGAGCTATGTCCCAAGCAGATGTATCTATGAAATATCAGACATACTTGTAGACAACTACCTCACTGTACCAAATCTTCAAGATATTCGGGTCGATTCTGTTCGGATCTTGTTATAACATTGCTAAGATAATAATATTGTTATGATCATAACATATAACAATATTGCTATGAAGTTCTGCATTCTGTTTGCAGAGTAACTGCAAGACTGGTTATAAGTTCAACTGATAGCAATATTGTTGAAAAGTTGAGAATTTTTGAGCTGACAACACTGTTTTCAACTAATTATTTAAGTGTTAGGTATCGATTTTGCCATTATTTCATGAAGAAGAAGAGTTCATGATTATCTAACCTCAAATTAGTCAGTCCTGCGCTGACATTTTACAAAATTATATTGTTCAAATCGAGAGATTTTGTATTTGCTAATCTGGTCGTCGTTGTGCGACTGGCAAGTAATCAATCATGTCCCCTAAATGAGAAACCAACTAAAAGCCGGATGAAAATAATCGTGATTTTATTAATATTCTAGCAAAATAGCTTGATAAACTATCCATCAGGCAACTGAAATTTCTCTGATATGCCGAAATTGTAGTCTCATATTTCCTCTACAAATTGGAATTTCAAGAAAAGGTTTTCAAGTAGTTGGTCACAGTAGTGAACCTATCCTATATGTTTGTAATCAACATTTTATGTTTTTCAATAATTCTTCTACAAATTGAAACTTTGAGGAAAGGTTTTTGAGTAGTCTGTGACACAACTGAACTCTCATATGTTTTTAATCCACTATTTTCTGAATTTTCATACAGTTGAAAGAATTTGTAGTGCAAAAATCTATCTTAAATAATCAATTATATTGAGGCCCTGGTGTCCTGTCGACATTTCTAGATATTCAACGATAATACATTGGTTTATATTTGATTTTTGTCTACATACATATATCTACTGTGTTCAACCACCAGAAACTGAAAACGTGTGGTCAGTAGGTTCTGGACAATCACTTTTTGATTGTTTGATAATTATGAATCCTACCCATTACGCCAATCGAAGTTTTTCAAAGTTGAGGAATATACACAATATGATTGCATGCTTGAATAAATAGTCAAAAAAAAACACGATTTGTATACCAAAATAATTGTGAAATACTATTTCAATCCTCTGTAAAAAAAGTGAGGTTGTTTTACCTCCAGGGTCGGTCATCTGTCAAATGTGCACGCGAACAATTGGAAACTATGAAAAACTCCAAAAATATGCTTAGTAAGCGTTCTCTACTCATCTATACAGTTCTTTCATTTATATATCTTAAATAAACAATTATATTACGGCCCTGGTGTCCTGTCGACATTTCTAATTTTTGTCTACATACACCTATCTACTGTGTTTAATCAACAGAAACTAAAAGCGTGTGGTCAGTAGGTTCTGGAGATTGTTTGATAATTATGAATCCTACCGATTGCGCCAATCGAAGTTTTTCAAAGTTGAGGAAGCTTACAAAACAAAATTCATAAACGAAACGTCGAAATCGTCACACCCTTGACTCATCGTTTGCTCGGCAGGCCGGCACGGTGGACAGCGGCTTGGACGTCGAATATCAAGTGCCGACGAGCAGCCAGCGTGACCACGACGACGACAACGTGATCGTGGTGGAGAGCGACGACGAGGGGGGCGCCGACGAGGGGGAAGGGGCTGACGATGATCAGGACGATCCCGACACCGAAGGATACGATATGGAGGGAATGGTAAATGACAGTATAATATACAATTTATCTACAACTGTCAAGTAATTATTATTATTGAAACTTTTAATAATGTCATAATGACGTTAATTACCGCACTAGTGCGGTAATGAGAAAAAATGAATTTCAACCAAAATAAATCGTTCATTGGATGAATACAAAAAAATTCAAATAACACTTGTCGCCGCATCTTCACTTGAAGACATTTTCACTCGAGAAGCTCAATAATGGTTCTGGATATAATAATAATAATAATATTTTTCTATTCATTTTGCATCAAGCACAGTAGATTAACAGTTTCACAAATATTATACGTATTAGGCTGACACAAATGAACAAAAAAAGAGAAACCACAAAGCTTTCGCTGTCCCTGGTGAACTCACATTCATCTATGAGTGAGAGATCATAGTATAATACATATTGAACAATAAATCGAGTAGAAAAATAGTATATAATTAATAGAATGAAATATAATATGATAGAGAAGATAATTTATGTAAACATGAAAATGATAATAATTATAATTTAGAATATATAAATGGTATAATAGTATGAAAACAGTTACATCAATAATAATAATAATTATTATTATAAAAAGTACACGAACATATGATTGATTAGGCATAATACGACTTGAAATGGCATTTGTTTGTCGATGGATTTAGGGTGTAACCAAACCCACCCGGGTCTTATCTAAATATGGAACTAACTAACCATATTTCATGTGATCGTCTAGTATTTATCATGTCCGAGAAGTATCGAGATTCAATTCGACACCTCTCAAACATGTTTCCACGTTGTGTATTTTTTTGTATAAGTTCGTGGATACAGAGTTCTGTGAAGGTAGAAAAGAAATGAAAATCGAGTATGAATCAAGAGTATTTATTGGCCACGCATCTTTTTACAATGCAAATTGTACGATGTGAAGTTGAGTGAATTAGCAAAAAGCAATCAAACCCTCTTCACTGCGCCAACCAAGACTCAGTATCAAAAGTTTATGTTGGTATTATCTGATCAATTGCTCAGATGGACTATGCTTGCATTCCTCTCGGATTGCCTAATGGCTTTTTTCAGTAGAAGGATCGTCTCCTGCCGGGATAAAATATGAGTGGTTGCAAGCCACCTCCGCGGTGTACACCAACTACAGGGACGTCCAAATCAGTATGCCTACTGTTAATATGAAAGTGAGGAGAGGACGCTCCCACAGTACCATCGAGCAATTTGACCACTCATTGTCATCTATAAGCACTTCGAGTTATGTAGATAAACTGGTCAAGGTTAAGCAACAGCGAAGTATACAATACTACCCAAAAGAGATCATGTGATGAGTTTACTCTATTTGGACTTGACGTTATCTATCAGAGACTGAGTGCTAAGTGAGTGCTGAGATAGTACTCAGACTGGGACCTACTCCTTCAACCCGCTCTTTCGGCTATAAAGGAGGTAGAGGTTTGGTCATCTTCCATGTTTCCTAGAACTCGTAACAAGATAAGGAATTAGTTTCTGAAATAATATTATTTCTGCCCATTCGCTCTGAAGGAAAACACATAACAATGTTTAGGCAAATCTTTATTATTTCTAGAAGTCGCAGATGTTCAAAAGAACAAACCTATTTGTGGTGAAGTGTTGGGTCCGACTGCGACCAAGTCGATCGGATAGTAGTGTAAGTGTAAGTTCCGACTACGATCAGGTGTCGGTCGGATTGTAAAAAGTGTAGGGTCCGACTACGATTAAATCGGTCGGATAGTAGTGTAAATGTGAGCTAAACGAACATATGTGAACTCAGGTGTAACTGATATGCCAAACGAACATATGTGAGCTCAGGTGTAAATTATATAACATCACACATGAATAAATAATACCATCATTTCAAATTCAAATGTACTACACCCAGTACATTTCAAAAGAACAAGCCTATTTGTGGTGAAGTGTTGGGTCCGACTGCGACCAAGTCGATCGGATAGTAGTGTAAGTGTAAGTTGTGACTACGATCAGGTGTCGGTCGGATTGTAAAAAGTGTAGGGTCCGACTACGATCAGGTGTCGGTCGGATTGTAGTGTAAGTGTGAGCTAAAAGAACATATGTGAAGTCATATAACTGTAAAGAAAGACAACAAATATTCATCATATTATATGCCTAACCATAGCAATAATATACCATAACTCAGTATAATAAACAATGATAAACAGAATTGCAGCGCAACACAGTTCATTTCAAAAAAACAACCCATATCGCTCTGTCTGTAACGGCCGTCGGTGCTCTAGTCACTTCCAGCACCGAGCGGACGGTCACTAGGTCACTAATGTCATTGTCATGTCCATGTCAAATAAATTCAGATAAACAAATAAACATATACGAATTCAAATTTCAAACAGTTTTGTTATGATGGATTCGTGATGGATTCTTACCTTTTATTTCTGGAGATGTTGCTTCTTCGAAGGTTGGAAATGTTCTGTTTAGATCGCGGCTCGGGCTGCTATTTATAGGGAAATCGTTTGTTGTGATTGTCACTAGGACCACTTCCATGGTTACTGATGTTCTTTTATTGAAACAAACCTGGATTTGGCCCTTTTTTGGCCCCATTTCAGGGTGCTCCCTTGCATTATGAGGCTTCTAGCTGTGAACATACGATGTCCAAAGATCAGGTAGCTGTTTTCACATACTTATAAGTCTGTCCCTGTGGTTCTACTTCAGATTTGAAGTGAATTTATGAACATCTGACAGCGTCAAACGTTCGTGAATTGGTAGAGTTTTTTTCCACAAAACAGACTCTTCCTGCCTTTGTAGCTGGAATAAATCGATACAAATCGAAGTCCAGATTACTCACCAAGCTTCCTGATGTTGTAACAAAGCACAACACTGTGGAATCGAGTATCCAACAAGGTCTTACCATACCTGGGATACAATCCAATGTTGGTGTGATAGAATTTATGATCTCGTGATGATTTGTTACTTATTTCTCTGATAAAAAATGCAACTACTCATAGAAATTGAACCCTCATTAATGGAGTCATGAACTGAATCACTAACTATGATCCTCAAATAAGAAAATGACTTCCAAAATAAATCAATACTCTTGATCATGATGAAATATTCTACCAAGCGAACTGGCTTGGGTCGTTACAAGGGTCAATTGAAAAATGCATGTATAAGGGTCCTCTGATTGCTCAGTAAAAATGACTTTACTTTGTTTCTATATGTATTGATCTGACAACTCAATTTAACATCTATAATATAATATGAGGTACGTCGGAGTGGAATATCAACGATCATTTAACTCTCCAGTGGTGACGTGGTTTTACGAAACATGAGTGGTGACGTCGGTCTGAGAGACATTCAATTTTTTTTCGTAATAAAAAAATATATACAATCGAAATATAGTCAGCTCATATGATTCTGCTCGAAGGAAACATAATTGGAAATCAGATATTGTTAATAAAAACATACAATTCCATTCAAGATCATCTCCAATTGTCATACATGTTTTCATGGGATGTAGAAGTCTTTGTTGTTCTGCTCCTAATATGGAGGATTTCTTTTGAGATGAGAATATATACCTATGGTTGAATACGCTCAATTTCTCATAAAATGAATTGAAACGAGAAATATCTAATGTAGCAGATTTGTTACTTCACTGGTGAAGTCGGTCTGACAGTCCGAAACCAATAACTACTAGCTTCCTGCTAGTGCTAGCGCTTTCAGGTTTACAATGCGCGAAGAGACCCAAAAAAGGTTAAGCTAGAGGGAAGCAGTAAAGGGAGCATCGCGCGATAGCCCCAAATTTCGAAAAAGCATTTCTGAGAGACCGCAGGTGACCACTGCAGGGTTAAAGATAGTTATGAAAACATTGACAGTTGTAGATAGAATTTTGTACGCAACGCGTGAGATACTACATTATGAACGCTCTCATGCGTGCATTAATAATGTGTATATCCCACTTGTCATATAAATAACTACTATAATAGGTATCGAGCATAGTCCGATATTGCCGAACAGTACTACCTAGTATATTTTATCGTTCCGATTTTACTGAAATTTACTGGCAACGTTTTAAAAGTTTACTGTTGGCCACTGGCGCAGAAATGGTGATGTAGTGCCAGTATTCATGGAATGTTGTTTAAGCGTTTGAAGGGTTAGGTATGAGTCGATATAAATTATATATTATTATTATTTCAAAATACTTTGGAAAAATGTATGAAGTCGATCTGGAAGATCTCAAAGTGGAAGTTGATGCTGAAACTACAGAATGCTTTATTATTGCCATCATTTCATCACAGGTATTAGAGGTACTTGAGCTTGGTGTTTCTGATGAATCAAAATCACTATCGGATAATATGCGTCGGGAGACAACAAAACCTGGTGCTAAAATCTACAACTTTTTTCCCTTGTATAGTAAATAACTATTTTAAGATTATATGATTAATCACCTCATCGATGATTTGAACGTGAGTAAAGAGGATAATAATAAGGTGGATGAAAATAAAAACAAACAAAACATTCAGAATTGAAAGATCATAGGTTATGGTTATGTTTTGCTGCCAATGTACCAGTACTGCCAAAATAGTTCCATAATGAAATGAAAATTCGAAGCTACTGCTACTGTTTAGTGTTCCTAAATTGCTTAATGTGGCCAGAAATGTCAGCAATATCGGAACATGACCATCAACAAATACTTCGATGAATCTTAGATATACAGGGTGTTTCATTAATATTGCACAACGCTTCGAGGCGGTTTTTTTTTTTTTGTCAAAATAAGAAACAAGTTCATATTTCCCAAAACGATTCGTTTCCGAGGTATAGGGTGTTCAAGTTTCCAGAAACAATAAATTTTTTATTAATTTCCGAATTGACATTGTTATGTACGTTAGTTCTTGTTTTCGCTATGGTTACATGATTGATTTGGTAAACGGACAACAGGATTTTGATTATTACCGTTTTTCTGTCATCGGGTTCACATGAATAGGTTTGGTTTTTGTTTTTTACTCCTAAAACGCAGCCAGATA